TGCATTTTATCTATGGAAGCACAAGCTCATAAGCTCACAAAGATCCTTTGACATTTTGTGTAAAAGCAAATTAAACTGAGTCTTGGACTTCCATTAAAAAGCACAATTCCGTGTTGCTCCATGACCAAGGTTTTCTAGTATATTAAAACTGCTATCAGGTATACCGGGGAGTCAGCAGAAGTCCGAGGGTTTCACAAGTAACTAAAGAGTTTAGATTATCTAATCCAATGTCCCTTATAAAAGAAAACTATAATCCCCGGAGGAAAAAGATTTCCCTTTGTATACTGTAATGTATATTATATTGGCAAACTGTCATGTGCTACTTCAGCTCATTGAAAAGTGGAATTACCTATATTCCTCTTGGCCCATGTAAAAAAAAAAACAAAAATAAAAAAACCAATTACTTTAAAAACAGCTAGAAGACAAACTGTTTCCAAGAGGTTACTGCTGTTTCTTTGATGATATAAACTGTGGACAGACACTGGGAAAGAGAATGCTAAGTCCAGCCCTGGGAAGCTCATCCCTGGAAAGAAAGATTAATCTGCAGCTCCTGCTGAATGCTTTGAAGTCTTCAGTTGTTTCCCCTGGATGCTGTGAGCACCCCCCAGTCTTCTGACGTTATCTCTACCTGCTCCTAAGTCTTACTCAAGGAACGGGTATAGTTGTTTGCTTTTTGATTTTTTGCTTTTGTTTTGTTTTCTTTTGGGAGGCCTGCTATCCAGTTCCCAAATAAATACACAGAGACTTACTCTTACTTATGAATGTCAGCCTTAGGTTGTCTAATTTCTAGCCTGCTGTGGGAACAACATACCTTGGCTGGAGACCCACTTCCCCATCAGCCTGGGAGCAGGCAGCTTTAAGACAATGTTTACTAAAAACATGTTTACTGAAAACAATCCGGTGTCCATAAGAAATGTTTACCAGAGGAATAAGTTCCTGAAAAGGGCTCTCCCACTGGAACGCCCTGACCTCGACCTTTCCAAACACTAACTGCTTCTTCCTGACCCACCCACCACAGCCTCTGGGGTCAGAGCATAGCCAGCCAGGGGTAAGGAAGGGAGCAGAAGCTTTTCTTGAGGGAAGCCTTTCTTGGGAAGTTTTCTTGAGCCTTCTTGGGGCCTGCTTAAAGTTTTCTTTGCACAGCCAACTGGTCTCTGTGTCATCAATCCCGACACCCTCTGCACATTCTCAGACACAGGCTGTGCAGCAGGCAAGGCAATTAGCGGTCCCACGGAGATGTGAAAGTGAGGTAAGTGGACAGTGGACGGGGTAGTCCCTTTTGCCAGCCAGGGACGCATGGGGGAAAATAGAAAAAGAAACGATGGGAAATAGTCCCTGGAAGCTTGAATTACAGTATGAAGTAAAAAAGCTACTTGAAGAACAGAGGACTACAGTCAAGGCTAAAACCATGGAAGGCTTTCTAAATTGGATCGAACAAGCCAGTCCATGGTTCATTACTGGGGGAGGCTTAAATGTCCCAAATTGGGAGGAGGTTCACCATGATCTTCAGAGAGTCGGGAGTTGGTGGCACACAACTTTAATCCCAACACTCGGAGGCAGAGGTAGGTAGGATCAAGGCCATCCTGGTCTATACAGCGAGTTCCAGAACATCATCCAAAATGATAGAGAGAAACCCTATCTCGAAAAAAAAAAAAAAAGGTAAAATAAAAATAAAAAATCTCCAGCCTTTCGCCTGATCCACTGACATCAGGAGAGTAAAGGGGAACTGAGAGATCTAAAAGGCTGGCCAGTAAGGCTATAAGGATGTATTAAAAAGGGGTACCAGATTAAATCTCCAGGCCTTTGCCCAACAAAGGTCAGGAAAGAAAGGGGAACCTGAGAGATCGCCCTCAGTTGGAGGGTGGATTGAGTAAATCTCCAGGGCTTCTCCTGACAAGGTTGGGAAACAAAGGGGAACCTGAGAGATCGCCCTCAGTTGGAGGGTGGATTGAAAATGGGTGAATTTAAAAAATTGGTAACAGTTAGAAAATGAGGCACTGGTATTAAGAAAAAGGAAAAGACAAAGGTATATGGAATGGAAAATGTTTGTTTACATTTAATGTCAATTTTGTGAGTCATCTCTAAAAACTTTTGGCCAAAAGCCTGGCCTCTCCACCTTGCATCTACAGAATTACAAGGATTAGCCAGGCGGTGGTGGCACATGCCTTTAATCCCAGCACTCGGGAGGCAGAGGCAGGTGGATCTCTGTGAGTTCTAGGCCAGGCTGGACCCACAGCCTCCAAAACAATACAGAGAAACCCTGTCTTGTAAAAACAACAACAACAACAAAAAAAAAAAAACACAAGGATTAGGTACGGCTGTAGCTCAAATGGAGGAATGATGAGGGGCATATAGGACTTTTTTTTAACCTTTTTAGTTCAAGGATTGTATGGAGTTGTTCTGTTACAGAGATTTCAATTAAGGAAGTTTCATTTCAACAGACTAATCATGACCTAGAGAAAAAGGATGACCAAAAGATGTATGTATGTTCTGATGTATGGTGTGGCCACACTGGTATATATGAAATGTGATTGTGAATGTGTGAGTGTGAACTGCTTATATGATTAAAAGGATACTCAAATCCCTTCAAAAATAGTTATAAAGCTACCTACATTGCTTTAGATATTGCCAAAAGGAACATTCAGGTTTTGATATTTTGCTACATACCTATCTCTTGTTGTTTATTCTTTTACTTTGCGTTGATAAATACTTAATAATTTATTCATTTAAATCTGAAAGTACAGCTATCATAGATCATTTTCTGTACCTAACAAAACATATGTAAGAGCTAGGCCAGGGTTAAAAATTAATATGGCAATCTGGTTATGAATACAACCTTTGGAGATTCATTGCTTTAAATAGTAGGTATGATACTTAATAACTGTATGTGAACTAGGACAACTTACAAGGCTAATCTTGCCACAGCTTTATCATCTGTAAAAGAAGGATAATGCCTTAATACCGTGAGGATTAAAGAGGTCATTGCATAGGAGATTGTAAGCAACCAAATTGCTGACACGTGTAAATATATACAAATAGGAGGTTTAATAGTTTCTTTTGCAGTTAGCTGGTACTCAGGCCTTAAGAGTCACTATTGACCTCTACATCTCTTGCTTTGGTTGCAAGTAAAATACAGATATTTACCTTTGGGTTAAAAGGATAAAATCGGTCAATGATCAGTATTTATCTTATTCATGTGAAAATTAGCTAGACAATGAACATAGCCTTTTTAAATCTTGTTATCGCCAAGGTTTGCTATGTACACATTGATTGACTACTTTTGTACCTAAGATGTGAGTGATTTTTCTGAACTGAGTTCTCCTTGAAGGACTTATTCCTGGAATGTGGTATGCATGCACAAGCATGTGCAGGTCCCAGCAGAGGCCAGAAGACCCTGAGTCACCTGATGTTAGTTACAGAGCCACTGTGACCACCAGACTCGGGTGCTAGGAACCAGACTCCAGAATTCTAAAGGAACAGCAACAACTCTTTCATCTCTCTGCCTGCTTTGCCGTTCTTTGTTTTCTGCTTTGTTTTGTTTTGAGAGAGGGTCAGATACAGCTCAGATTCGTCTTGAAGGTCTAAGAGTAACCAAGGATGACCTTAAGCTCCTAATACTCCTGCTCCCATCTCCAAACTACTGGAATTCCAGGCACACGCCACCACGCCAGCCACACACAGTAACGAGAGGCACATTTCAGAGTCAGGTAAATTGGGTTCAAACCTCAGGCATGATAACTTTATGCGTGCAACTTACAACCTCTGAAGATGTAACTTAAGTATAAGAGTATGCAGAGACAGGACTTGCTTTTGTGAGCATTACATAGTGAATATAAGCTGTTGCCAGGCAGAAGGTAGATACCTGTGAGCCACTCATGAAATGCTATGTGACTATGAGTCACAAATAAGGACAGTGACTAAGATGATAACACTTGTACCAATCGAAAAATTATAAAACTTGAGTGATTAATATAACAACAATTTAGGATCAGCACGGTACTCTCAAAAGGCAAAGCTTGCCTGATGCTTCGAATGCTTGTATTTAACATACGGTCTCTTCCTTTTTAAAAAGATTTATTATGTATACAGTGTTTTGTATGCATGTACATCTGCACAGCAGAAGACGCCATTGGATCCCACGTAACGTAACTACAGTCTTTAGATGATTGTGAGCTGCCACATGAGTGCTGGGAATTGAACTTGGAACCTCTGGAAGAGCAGGCAGTGCTCTTAACCACTGTGTCATCTCTCTAGTTGCCATATTGCATTTTTTTCACGGAAATGCCTCCACCTTTCCTGGGATAGACTGACTTGGAGGGGAAATGGAGGGAAGGTGATTAATGAATTACAAGTTGGTAAGGGAATTTACCTGAAACCGCACTCGTCAATAACATTATTCCAAGATTCATTACATGCCACCCTTTGAGTCTCTGAATAAACGAGCATCTTCCCTCACACTAGACATTCGTCAGAAGCAAGTCCCTGGGCTACTCAGACTTGCTCCACTCAAAGTTCCCCTGAACTCTTCACAGTGAGAGAGTTTGGAGTAAAGCCAGGGCATTCCTCTCTGAAAGTATACCCGAATCGGGATCAGTGGCTTCCAAAACGTAAAGTATAAGCCTGAGAACTTAAAGCCAAAGGAGGGGAGCTCCGTTAATTGCAAGTAGTCAGGAATGACTTCCGTGCCCCGTTCTTGGGTACTATCTGAGCAGGATCCAGGAGAAGGACCATCAAGCAACTTTCACGAGGTCACAGAGAGGCAAAACCTTGCAGCCAGGAGACAGCAGCAGCGCCGCCGAATCGTCCGCACGGGGCCCTGCAACAGTCGGGGAGCCAGGACCGACCTGCAGGCTGGACCCGGGGAAAGCGAGGGAAGGCCGGGCGCCCCGGGGACGGACGGGGGACTCGCTACCCTCTCCCCGATGTCCCCGACATGCCGCCGGGGGGCGGGCCTGGCAGAGACGCGGCGCCAGAAGCTCAGAGGGAAGTCACTCACTCACCCGTCTCCGGCCGCCGGGGCCGGACGCGCGCGCCGACCGGGAGCAGCAGGCGGGTCCGCGGCTCAGGCGGCCCTGGCGACGGCTCGAGGGCGTCACTGACAACCACCCGGAAGTGGCTGACTGCTTCCGGGGCGGCCGAGCGCGCGGCGGGAAATGATTTCCTGGAGCCCGGCTTGGTGGAGCCCTGAGAGCCAGCGCCGTAGCCGTCAGCCCCCCCGTCGCCGCCGCCGCCACCGCCGCCCGAAGGAAACCGTCCCGACGCTCCGGTCGGCCGGGAAGGTAAAGCGCCGGGCGCGGGGGACGCCGTTTACCGCGGCCTGGGACGTCCTTGCCGGGCCGCGGCGGCGCCTGGCGCTCGCGCCAGCCTCCCGCAGCCTCGGCGCCTCCGCGGCGGACGCGAGCCCGCGCCGGTGGCCCGGGGCTCCGCCCCGCCCGGTCCCCCCGGCCGGACCGCCTCCCTCCCCCTGCGCCGGGGACCACCGTGGAGACGTCCCCGGTGGAACCGCAGAGACGCCACCCTGTCCCCCAGGGCGCCCTCCCTGCCGCCCGAGCGCCGGGACGCTCTCGGGGACTTGTAGGACGCCTCCTCCACCCCCGGGTCTGACCGCAGACACCGGCCCGCAAACGCTGATTGGCCCTAACACTCCCGATCAGGGTCCGGGGCCTGGGGTAGGCGGCAGTCGGTTTTAAAGCCCCCCGAGCACTTTTATGACAAATGACTGTCCTCTACAGAGGAAAAAAAAGTTTCCATTGAGACATTGGGAAGGAACCGGATTCACCGTGCACCCGTCACACACAGGCGCCACACCTCACGGACTGTTTTTGTTCCTTACCCTGGCATCACCCAGGTCTTGAGTGGGTTTTCACGCTATTCCTGACAGTGTCATGTTTGGCATTCGTTCTGGGTGTTCAGGACAGAGCTGATCATTTGGTCGTTGACTTCTGTGCGAGGAAAATTTGATTTTAAGTTAACGATAATTTCACGTACTAGGATGCTAAAAATGCTCAAATGCTTAGATCTATTTTGTTGTAAGACAGCCTTCAATAAGTAACTAGCCTATCAAACTTGTTTTTTAAGTTTCTCATGCTTTATTGACTTAGGTGATGTCAGTTACATGATTTAGAATTTTTTTGGTTTTGAAAAGTAGAAAGGTTAAATTATGTTAGTGTGTGAAGTGGTCAGTTATAATTCCGTTTCATAATCAAAATTAAGAGTACTTAAAATTTCATTCTATGCATTCACAATTTCCATGGATGTCTCTTTTTTTTTTATTTTTAGAACACTGATAGTATAGCCTTACTAGATAGTATTTTCCTTATGTATGGTGGCTATATTAGTCTACAGGTCTTTTCTTTTCACTGTTTAAAAAAAGTGTCAAGAATAAAGTCAGTTGTCCATAAGGTCGAAATAATGGAACCTAAAGAAAGTGGAGAACCTTTCCAAAGAATAGGAGCTACAATGGAACATCACCTTTTGTTCTTTTAATCGGTTCCAGCGAGATGATTTTGAAATTGAGAATGTATTACTTTGATAAGAAAACCTTTGTGAAAAATTTTGATTCCAAATCTGTTTTGAGAGAAAAATAATAAGAAAAGCAGTAGTACTCTTTAAAATATTCCTACAAAAGAAAAGCAATAATAATTCTTTAGAATATTCCTGCAAATGTGTGAATATTTTAGACAGTATTTTCCTGAAAACGACTGATAACCGTTTAAATCTTTGCATTTGTTCCTCTAAATGTCTTCTTACCCATGCCTTCAGGTTGTACTGGTAGAGAATGTTAATCGACTTGTAAAATTGTAATGTGTAAGAAAAGTAGATTAAAACTAAAACTTAACCTGTTTGGCATTGTAAAAAGGGTTTAGCCTTTCCACAGAACAGGCTTATCTTGGAATCTTTGTTTGACTATTTTTACAAAGATGTGAGTCCTTAAGGTAGGTTTTTTGTCTTTCAGATTTTTTCTCTGCCCTTGGTGCTAGGGATTGACTTGGTGCTTATTTCCTGCTGAGTTACCAAGTTGTATCCCAAGTTATACCCTTCCTTATGTATCGAAACCAGGTGTAGTCAGTCCAGTGCTCTTAACAGTGTCTTGTACTCTCATCTGCATGTGAGTAAACACAGTAGATAAATATATGGTGCACAGTCACCTTGATAAGAGTTAATTGTTTTAATTAACAATCTTAGCCATATGCTTTTCATATAGAAAACTGTCTTTGTACACTTTTTCTCCTAAGGACTCCTTTAACCCTAAATTAAAGGGTTAGCCCAGGCTACACCATGTACAGTGTCAGATAGATGAGAGAGGGCCACATTTTCCTTGTCTCCTATTTCTTTTCTCTCTCACCACATTCAGTTTTTTAATCCATTACCAGATTATCCATTATAGGAATTAATAATTGTTCCTTTCCTTAGAGGCAAGAACATTTCTCACTAGAGACTTCTGGTTTTCGGATTCCATTTGTCTTTTTTTTTTTTTTTTTTTTTTTTTTTTTTTTGGTTGTGTGTTGCTTGTTGATAGAACCTACAGTCTTAGGCATGCTAGGTAGACACTGTAGCACTGAGCTACATCCACAATCCCTCCTGGCCTGTTAAATAATTATTATTTCATAGATAGCATTGAAAGATGGGACAGGAAGTAAGACAACTATTTTTTCTGTGTGTGTGTGTGTGTGTGTGTGTGTGTGTGTGTGTGTGTGTTCTTCCATGGGGGTCTCAGAATCAAACTTAGGTCTTTAGGTTTGGTGGCCAGTGCCTTTACCGCTGAGTCACCTCCTTGGCACTCGCTTAACAACATCTTTTAAGATAGATGCCAAAGGCCTGCTGAGTGACATTAGACCAAAGGTGTGTTCTTTCCTAGGCCCAGAAGGGCAAGAATTCCTGCACTCCAGTTGAAGTTAAAGCATTCAGAACCAACAGAATTTCACTCATAGCATAAGTATTAAAACATAAGTGTGTGCTTTAAAACATTGTGAAGCAGAAAGAAATGTAGTGCTTTTCCTATATATTTTATTTTAATTTCAAGTTTCAATTAATTTCTCAGTTAAATCTTTCAAGTTTTGAATTCAAAGTAGTGAAGTAAACTGTACTGTAGACTTATATATGCTTTTCAAAAGAATTTTGAAATGCTTGCCAGTAAAAGGTTTCAAATCAAAATAGTTTCCTGTTGTAACGAAAATGAAGAGACTGCTAATTTTCAACATGTGGTTTATTATTATATTTATCAACAAGAATATTAGCATGTATAAGTAATTATAAAAATTAGGGAAGCACATTCCCAAATTTTGTTATATATGCTTGTTTTTCATACACATATTAATCCAATACAGTAGTTTTGTAAGTTAAGGAAATTAGAAATGATTTTAATCACTATATACTTTGTAGTACTTTTGAAATTTTCTATACTCAAAATGTTAGTTGAAATTACAAAACAAAATTGTACAGATTGTTTTAGAAGTCAAAACCAAGTTCTTCCACACATATGTATGGGAGTGGCTTATGCACGGGGTTGGACCTGGCTTCTCTTTTCTGCAGTAGTTCTGCAGCCAACTGTTTTCCCTGCCCTTTGCCCCCCTCCTACCCACTTTGCACTCTGTGTGTCCATGCTGACCTCCAGCTGTCATCACTGTCCTGTCCCAGCCGCTGACCTTTGTTTTCTTACCTGTGGTCCTGCCTTGAGTTTCCTCTTTCGTTTCTTGTTTTTGAGACAGGGTCTCAATGTAGCCCTGCTGGCTACATGAATCAGGCTGGCTTGGCTCATATATCCACCCACCTCTGCCTCCCTAGTGCTGGGATTAAATGCGCACACTAGTACTGGTATATTTTAAAGAACTCAAAGGTTCGATTAAAACGCTTAGAATAAAATATACACAATCACAGTGATGAGAAATGTAAGTTTCCTGGTGCTTCTGGCTGACACCAACTGTCAGAAGAATTTCAGGCATCAAGGATAGGCCTTGGTGAGAGATATTTTAAGACAGTCCATGCCACAGCGACAGTTGCTTGCTATGTATAAAGGGCAGCCTGTTCACAGGCACTGTCTTCTGAGTTCTGTATTTTACATGGTTCGGGGTGAGTATATGTTAAAGAATTACTGCTGTAAAGCTTTAAAATATTACTAGAAAGGAACTTTTTATAACTAGGAATGTACTAGTATAATTTTTATTATAAAGATAAACAAACATTTAATTACTAAAAATGAACAGCCTCTTTTCTACTCTTTTTGTGAAGATGTCATCTGTGTGGTGTGTAAAGTTAAAGGTTCACATGTCCTACTCCCTTCCCCTTCCCCACCTCAGCTGTGAAGATAGGACATTTTAGTAGAAATGCTACTAGTATTAACTGCTGTGGAATGCTTATTCTGTTCTGGAATTAGAAGATTTCGAGAAGTTAAGATCTCAGTTCTTCATACTTCAGAACAATCACCTACATAAAATTAAGCCCTACTCTAAGTGCTTGGCTTTACATATGCTTTAAGGACATTTCTGTAGTGCTCTCTTAACTCATCAGCGTATCGGGCTGTTCTCTTAAGCTTCCAGGGTGTGGAAGAACTATCTCCTACTACTACTGTATGTGTAAAATACATCCATGTCTGTATTGCTGTGTGTGTGTATATATTAATTGTCCTGTGCAGTCATGTATTTTGAATGTCACATAAATCATTTTTTTATGCAATGTAATGTTCAAAAACATTGCCTTTGCTTCATGTTGGTAACGTAATTACAGAGTGGTGGTGACCTGCTAGCTGTGTGCATGTCCAGTATATACAGTTCTGGGAACATTAACTAATACACTCCTGTTTTTCTGACAAACTTGTGAATAAATGACTGCGTTCTGGTTTCTTTTTAGATGCGTGTTCATACTGTTTGAATCAGGATATTCTGTTTTATCACTGGGTCTCTTCTTTTTCCTCTTTTTATATGGAGAATTGCAGTTTCTTAGCAGCATTTTCAAAGTAAGGAAGTTGCTTTAAAAATACTTTGATGCTTTCTGCTGTTGTGCACACTTGGTCCTGTCATCTTGTGAGATTGGTTTAGCAGAAGATGCTGCTAAATATATGGAGGTGATTATTGCCATCAAGATGGGTTAAGACAAAAAACTGCATTTTATATATATATATATTTCAGTAAATTCAACTAATTTAACAGTTTATACCTCAACACAAAATATGTTAAAATATCACTTCAGAGTTTTAAAGTAGCAATTGCTTATATGAAAAGAACAATATGGTAGACATTCTTCTTTCATTTTTATAGAACATGTAATTTTCATAAAGCATAGTGCAATATTTAAAGGCATCTTATAGGTAGTAGTGTTACAGCAATTTTTTAAACTGCGTTTTGATTATTGGGGGAGGCGGGATGGGGCTTGATCCCAGTGTCCTCTTCTCCATAATCAGGTGCTCTGCTGCAAGGTGTCATCCCATCCCTTCTGCAGTTAATGGTAACAGTTTTAATGCACCATGTTCCATAGGCAAGACTGTAAGTACTCTGTCCAGATGGTGGTGGCACACGCCTTTTATCTCAGCACTGGGAGGCAGAGGCAGGCGGATCTCTGAGTTTGAGGCCAACCTGGTCTATAAAGCTACACAGAGAAACTTTGTCTCGAAAAACCAAAAAAAAAAAAAAAAGAGGACACTAATCCCTTTCCTTTTCCTAATAGTTCTTGAAATAGCCTGCTAACTAGTTTAAAAACTCTTCAATACAGAAATAAAAATACAATTTTGAAAATATATAGTATGTTGAAAGTCATGGCTTCTCATAACTGGCTTTTGAGATCTATAAAAACAAAGCCAATATTATAGATACATTGAATTTTACTTGGTCATTTCTAAAACGATCTATCATTTTCTAAATGGAATTATTAAAGAGTTTTCTTAATTCTTTTGAGTTAATGTGAAAAAAGCTCTCTCCCCTAGTTATAGCCATATGTTGTATAATACAAATGTGTCTTACTGTGTGGATGTAGATGTTTTTGGAATCAAACAATGTTTTTTACTTGCAGTACAGCATAGTCTTTATGTGTTCGTCTATATTGCCAGTCTGTATTATCTGGTATCGTCACTGAAGTGCTAACTGTATTAACCTTGAAAACGGTTTTTAAAATTTAAAGTAAAAAGATCCCTTTTCAGGGATGTACTTGTGTCATATTTATAGATGATAGTATTTTATAGATGTATATCTTTCTTGAGATACCAGTACATGAGAGTACACTTTATAATTGTGTCCTAGGCAGACCAAAGCCCTGTAAGTTACATTTAAACCTTTGCTTCAATTGAAAGTCTCATTCTTAAAGATACTTTGTGTTTTATGTCTGAGTTTCAGTATTTTAGAGAGCTGATACTTGTTGCCTCCTTTGGAATCCGTTGGCAAATATGGAAAACAGATTTATAAAAATTGGTTTGAGAGCAGTGACTTTGATATACAGCTCTGCTGTGTTCTTTACTATGTGACCTGTGACTTGATCTGCCCTGCAGTGCAGGACCGACCACCAGCAGCTCCCTGACATGTGTTGGGAAGCATTAGTATGAGCTGTCTTCACAGGTATTCAGAAGTGCTGAGAAAAGCCTGCCCTTTAGGTCTCTAGGAGCCCCGCCCATCCATGATAAAAGCTAGAAATAGGAGCTGCAGTTCTGTGCCCTAGCCAGCCTTCCTTCTCTAGGAGCTTTAATGGTGAAAAGAGAAGGTTCACTCCTGACCCCGGGTGAACCTTTAAATGTGAGTGGTTTGCAGTGACCCAGTCTTACTCCAGAATGAACTTTGACCTGGAAGGTGTGTGTGTGTGTGTGTGTGTGTGTGTGTGTGTGTGTGTGTGTGTGTGTGTGTGTACAGTTGTCCAGGACTCCCCTCAGGTAGCAGTACCTGATCATCTGAATCACATACTCTCTTCCATGCTTTGAATTCTCTTTCAAGAACTTAAAATCCCTACTCTAGTGTATTCCGTGTACATGGTTATTACTTTATCTTCTATTATGGAATAGTGTTGAAAAGAAGAAAAAACTCTTTCCATGTTAGTTTAAATTTAAGGGTTTTCCCCCAGATACTTTACATGTATACTCTGCTAGTCTGAAACTCATAAAGCTTTATTTTAGTTCTTGAAAATAAAATTTCTAAGACTTTATTCACTTAATCCTGTGATCAAATACCTATACTCTTAATAGATTGTTTTGTTTTGACTTTAGGTTTATGGGTTTTTCATTTATTTATTTATTTGTTTGTTTGTTTGTTTGTTTTGTGGTGTGTATTGATTGAATGCAGGTCCATATTGGTGCTAAGTGTGCCTAATTTTTCTGAGAAGAATGTTAGAATAGCAACTGCCATTGCTCTGCCTGTGGTGTTAGATGCTAATCTGTAGCGATTACAACAGAAGTGTTAGAAAAATGAAAGTCACTGGGATTCCATTTGTCTCTGCTGTTATCAGAGCAAAACAGTTTTCTCAGAATGCTGTCTATAGTATTAATCTGATTGAACAAACTGAAGTATATTCTAGTTAGAAAATCTATGCTTTAGGTAACACCTTAAACACAAAGTACTTTGTGAACTATATGTCATATGCATTGAAACCCCATGAAAACGAAGTTAGATTAAAACATGTAGTTTTTTGTTTGCCTTGTGATGAAATCAGCATACACACAGAGACCAGAGATATATTGTGATATAATTAACACACACATATGTATAAGAAAGAATATGTGTGGGGGGGCAGTAATTAAAAATGTAGACAGAAGTTGGAGTCATTGTACCTGTCTCTTAAATTTTTTAATATAAATGCTATGGAACTATGAGTCCTGTCAGTAATTTGGTGACCTGTATATATTTTTTAATTTTGTCCACATTTTTAAAAACCATCATGCAACTGATAGTTTCATTTTCACAAATGTGCTTATTTGAAAAGCATTCAACAAAAATACATAAGTATGCCCATATTTATCTAGGCCCCTATCATTTTGTGATGAATCATATTCAGTATGTGTTTTAATGGCAAGTAAAATAGTACTGCAGGCTTTCAATGTCGAAACAACAACAAAAATTCAGTTTACGTTTTCAAGAAAATAATTTGAAACTGGCTTTTATTGTAGTAACTGAATTTAACATCATTACTTACAGTTAAGCTTTACATGTTTAATTCATAATATGTTTCATGGTTTTAGTTTCTTGTTAGTACTCATAATTAAGAAAAACTAAGTCACCCTTATGCATAATGTTGACATCTGCTGTCTTCTGTGTGTGTGTATGCTAGATGGGAGATGGTGCCACGAAACATGTCATCCAGATGACAGGGTTTAAGATGGAAGAAAAGCAAGCGCTAGTCAAGCTACTCTTAAAACTAGATTGCACTTTCATTAAGAGTGAGGTGAGTAGACTAAAATAGTCCATAGAGTTAAAAATAGAATTACAAAATAATGAACATCTCCTTTGGTATTGTAAAAGTAAAAATTTTTATTATTAAGGAAATCCCACCGTAGTAATATTGTTTCATGTTCCCTCTAGAAATATAAAAATTGCACACATCTTATAGCTGAACGCCTGTGCAAGAGTGAAAAATTCTTAGCAGCTTGTGCAGCAGGTAAGAAAACTCCCCTTTCTCCAATTCTTAACAAAATTTTCATGTTAACAGAAAAAAACTTAACTCGCTGGAAATATATTATGTCAGATATAATGTCTTGCTTTCAGCACTCAGGAGGCAGAGGCAGGCGGATCTCTGTGAGTTCAAGGTCAGCCTTGTCTACAGAGTGAGTTCCAGGACAGGCTCCAAAGTCACAGAGAAACCCTCTCTCGAGAAAGAAAAATGTACGGTGTCACAAATATATTTTAAATGTTTTCTTTAAGAAAAGTGTCTTAACAAATAGACAGGGACAAACCCTAACCCTTAGTTGAAGCCCCAGCTCTGAGTCCCGTTGTCCTCTGTTTATTGTCACTGCAGTTGAGTGCGGTTCCTCCTCCCAGGTTGCTGTCCCTCTGTCTACACAGGAAAGAATGCCAGCCTCCTTTATTCTTAGGAGATAAACAGTTCTGTGTGCCAATGTGGAGATTTACCTTTTCTCACGCGGACGCACCAGTAGCTTTTTCTCTGTGGTGATTATTTCTTGTGTCGTACTCCATCATGGATCCCATATCATTTTTCACCCTTCATTTGCCAGAGAAAAATTTAGACTTTTCCCTAGCCTTTACAGACAAAACTATGCATATTCCTGCTGTTTAAATATCACTGGTGAAGCACATAAACAGCTGGACACTTCACATTTCTTAAAAAAGAATCAGTAATTAACAGAATAAAACAGAAAAGACAAGAATCCTCACAGATGAAGATAAAATCCTATAGTGATTTACTTACAATAGCCTCCCTAAATATGACACTAACTTATTAAATTCAATATAGCATAGCAATACTATGAATGTTATTTAAAAAGTTTATCATAGGAAGAAATAAAACTGACACAGAAAAATAAATACAATTAGTAAAAATAGTTCAAGTAACATTGCCTTTTACTTTAAAAGTGTAGATTCATATTTCATCTAGTAGCATTTAGAATTATGGCTGTGTATCATATAAAAAGTATATACAATGTTCAGTGATATTTAAGGCCTCTTGAAAATCTGTTTTTAAAAGTAATATTCATAGTCTATCATGAGAATCTCATGTATAAAAAGGATGACTTTTAGTTGCTATTTGATCTTTATTTACCATTTAGCAAAACTAAAATTCTTTTGTGACAGTTCATTTGCCTTCTAGGAAAATGGGTATTAACGAAGGACTACATAATTCATAGTGCCAAAAGTGGCAGATGGCTTGATGAAACAACTTATGAATGGGGATATAAAATTGAAAAAGACTCCCATTATTCACCACAAATGCAGTCTGCACCTAAAAGATGGCGTGAAGAACTGAAACGGACTGGTGCTCCAGGAGCCTTCCACACATGGAAAGTCGTCCTCCTTGTTAGGGCAGATAAGCGAAGTGATTCTCTTGTAAGGTAGGGTACAATTATTCCATACGTTTGAAGCAGTGGATGAGTTCTTATTTCTGTGAATACCTTTTAACATTTATATTCAGTGTTAGAATGAGATGAGTTATTTTTTATAGAGGGTTTAATTTAGTTACTAGTTTTTTTGTTTTTTGTTGTTTTGAGAATGACATGCATGAACACTGTGTCTACATCACTCCTCCATCCAACTCCTCCTCTCCCCCCCCTCATTTTTTTTTTTAGATTGTATTGCTGTCATAAGAGGCTCAATGACTCTACATGAATAAATTTCCATTTTCTCATTGGTACAAGGAAAGGTTTCCCCCCTCATTTTTAATGATCTCTTTTCCATTATTCTTCAATGTGTACACACACATACAAACACATACACACACCTATTTATATAACCCACTGAGTCCATTCAGCTTTGCTTTTATGTCATGTGTCTAGGGCTCTATCAAATCTCAAACGAGGCATTGTGTACAAATGTATGCATTTCTTATAGAACAAAATTGGTTTTATAGATGAGCTTTGACTATTCTGGTGATCTCCATTTTAGTTCCCGTGTCATTTCTTTTTTTCAACTTTAGAAAAATAAGAGAAAGCATTCTTAAACTTTTGCTAGTTTATTATTTTATTATCAGAGACATTTCCCTGGGTTTTATATAGTACTTCCTTTGTGGTTTATACTATCTCCATCATAATTTAATTTCTTTTTTTCCAGATAAGGTTCCTCTGTGTAGCTCTGACTGTCCTAGAACTCACTGTAGGGTCTGGAATTCACAGATCTGCCTGCCTCTACCTCTGAGTGCTAGGATTGCTGGCATGTGCCCTCACACTCAGCTCATTTTGTCTTTTTAAAAACAGAGAATTTTTGTTGTGAAAGTACGTGGACATGCATTTGCAGAGGAGCAAGCTCACAACTTCCTTTATTACTCTTCACCTTAGTTTTTGAGATGCACTCTTTCACTGAATCCAGGACTTGCTGATGTGACTAGGCTCCTTGGCAGGCTGGACGACTCTTAGAATCCTCTGTCTGCTTTCCAGTGCTAGAATCACAGGTATACACCACTATGCCTGGTGTTGACAGGTGCTAGAGATCCCAATCTACTGCAGTGTGTATAGTCTGTGTCAAGAAGTCATGGTCTAGTTCTACTTACTATCCTCAGCCAACGTTTGGTCAGTGCAGCTCTATAGTGATTTTGGAATCAGTTAGTTTGAATCTTTCAGCTTTAGTATTTTTTTTTAAAGCACTTTGTGAGCCTGGATTCTTTGAATTTCTACATCTTAGAATCAGCTTGTAAATTTCAAGTGAAAGTCAAATTAAGACTTTCACTGGTTTGTGTTTTATTTGTGGTCTTTGTGAGAATTGAGCTCTTACACTATTGATTGTTCATTCAGGTACACTGTGTGTTTCTGTGGGTATCCTTAATGTTCTATAAGTCATATTGTTTCTTTGTTAGGTCAGCTGCCCCCTACTTTACCCATGATCCTCTGGCTCTTCCCAAGTACAGGGAGTATATTCCTGAGCCACCATACTCAGTATACTTTTTAGTTCCCATTGTATCAGTTTATGTGTATATTGCTAGATGTATTGCTTGCTACTTTCATATTTAGGGAGGCTATTCTAAGTAAATCACTATAAGACTTTATCTTCATCTGTGAAGATTCTTGTCTTTTCTGTTTTATTCTGTTAATTATTAGTTCTGTTTTAAAAATGTAAAGTGTCCAGTATACAATGTGTCTATTCATATGTACCATATGTACCATGCCCTCAGAGGTCTGAAGTTTCCTCTAAAACAGAAATTAAGACAGTTATGAGCAGCCACATGGGTGCTGGGAACCAAAACTGGGTTTGCTGCAAGAGCAATAAAGTAACTGCTGAACCATCCTTAGCCCCTACTGATTCTTAGTTTTAAACAAATTTCTTTTCTTCATGTAATAAACTACATCATGGTATATTATCCATTTTCAATATATTGCTCATTCTACTTACAAATACTTTGTTAAAGAGTTTCCTGTTTTCATCCTAATAAATGGCTTTCAATGCATAATGATATTTAAACTTAATATCATATTTCATGGTGACTTATCTTCCATAATAGTAACTGTGAGTGAGGGCTCAGTGAAGTCACTGGACAGGACCACTGTGTGCATAGAAGAAAAAAGTTTATTGACAGAAGACACTGGTGGTCTGCTTGCAAGAATAGAGGGCAACACGTTGACAGGAAAGTAAGCAAATTTTATATAGTCAGCAAGATAGTGGTTTTTGAGCTGATGAGGGCTGTCAGGATTCATCTGGAACTTCCCGGTTAAACAAACCTGCCTTGGGAAATTTCTGAGTAGTGCTGAGTTTAGGTTTCTGTTTATCCTTTTGTTTAAGACATTGTCTCCAGCACTGCCATTGGGGGGCGGGGTGCAATTTGGATCCAATAGTGCCAAGGCAGGGATGCCCTAATCACTTTCATTTAGCATTTTCTAGATTTACCAGCCAATCTTATAAGCATGTACACACATACACAAATAAAATCAAATAAAAAAGAAAGGAAGAACAGTGAAAGGGGGGAAAATTTAAAAGAAACAACCATAATTGTCTTTTTAGACATAACTAAAAATATATTTTTAAAAAAAGATACTGAACCTGTTAAATGAATTTAGCCAGATCACTGTATAAAATTTTTATAACTGACAAAGAACAATTGGAAATTGAAATTTAAGTTAGTATCGGACCATTCAAGAGGAACGGCAAGCAGCTTTGGAACTCACTCATTAAAAACAGCCCACTGGTTAACATAGTCACAGTAGGTGTCTGTGGACCTTGGAGAGACAAGAGTTCCAAGGACTACATTTCCTGAGTAACTCATGGTGTTGCTGAGCATAGCAACCACATCCCTCATAGTATGGGAGCTGTATGAAACTCAAGGGTTTCTAGCTCCTCACTAGGCAGTGGCACTGATGTTTGTGTTTTTCCCAGCATTGCTGCTGGGAGCAGATTAATGAGTCAGCCACCACCATAGAAGGAATGTAGAGATGGAGATTGTTAGTGAAGTCTCTTTCAGATGTTTTTATTGATAGCTTTGATGTAGAAAATCTTGTCGAACAATTTAAAGTTTAGAAAGGCCCACTTTTAATAGATATGAGCAAGGGACTTGTCAAGGTCAGGGAACAAGAACAAAGGCAACCAACCTGGCTGTTACTGGCTGATGCATCTTTCTTTCTAAGATGGGTTGGTGACCAAAGGCGATCATTTCTTGTACTCATTTTTGCCCATGGCTTCCTGCTGTAAGTTAATAAAAAAATAGTTGATGAGTGGGTGTGTACTCTGATCTTTTTTATATATAAAAGTTAAGATTTGTGATTCTTTTAAGACTTTGTGCAAGATTACCTTCTGAGATAAGTAATAAAATGATTGATCCTTTCCTGCCAGAGCAAAAGGAACTGGCTGAAATACACTTGGCTTGCCTAAAACTTTGTTAGTCAATTATAAAAGAATCATTGTTTGGGGTTGAAGATGTTATGTTGAGAAAAAAATATAAAGAAAAATGTTTATTTGTCCCTCCAGGTCCCACACAAATAAGCACACAGAGACAGACATATATTAATTATTCAATTTTTGGCTGATGGCTAGGGCTTCTTATTGGCTCGTTCTGTCTTAATTATTAACTCATTTCTATTAATCTAAGTATTTCCAAGTGGCCTTGGCTTTCTGGAGAATGCCCATACCTGTTACTCCTTTCGGCGACATGACTTCTCTCTGTCTCTCTGCCTAGCTTTCCCAGAATTCTCCTTATCTCCTGCTCCTGCCTATCTTCCTGCTTCTACTGACTATTGAACAAACAGTGTTTTTTATTTATCAATCAATAAGAGAAACATATATACAGAAGGACATGTCCCATCAACTTTTGTGGGCTTTTAAGAAAAACATATAACATATAAGAAAAAATATAATGTGATTTCTTCCTGTATAAAGATTTTTAATTTGTTTTTAGAAAATATGTAGCTTGTGGTTGTTAGGTAATCTTTTCTTGCATAGAAATTTTTATCTTTTTTTTTTTTTTTTTTTTGGTTTTACGAGACAGGGTTTCTCTGTATTGTTTTCGAGGCTGTCGGTCCAGCCTGGCCTCGAACTCACAGAGATCCGCCTGCCTCTGCCTCCCAAGTGCTGGGATTAAAGGCATGCGCCACCACCGCCCAGCTAGAAATTTTTATCTTAGAAGGTATAAACGAGATGAGAAAAATAAAAGAATAGAGCAAAATATCAAGAAAGACCTACAAGGAGAACGTCAGGGAAGATGTACAAGGAGAACATCGGGGAAGAAGGTAAACAACAAGGTAGAAAAACAAAGTAGGAACAATAACAGAAAGAAAAATAAAATGTGCATTTTCCAGTAGTTGACTGACTCCATGTCTCCTGTTCAGTTTCTCTGATGTGACAAGTTAGTCTGAGATTTATTTTATTGATATCTATATTTCTTTTTAAAAAGCTGTTTTACTGAAATGCAATTAATGTGCATATTCCAAATCCCATTGTCGTCCTTATAAAGATGTGTACCATCAGCATACGATTTAAACATTGTAATATATATATATACATATATATACACATATATATTACAGAATATGTATATATATCATATATATATATATTCTGCTGGAGTGAGGGCAGTGTTAGTATACCATCACACTCCATAAGCACTGTAGTTTTCATGCCTTGGATTTCCCACCTGAACACTCCCACCTCTCTATCCTTCCTCACGTTACTTAGCCTACTCCCTCTGTATTTATCCTTTGTGGACATTCATAAGAATATTCCTCTTATTTACTTAATTGTGTATCTTTTAACTAATACATTGCCTGTCTCCTCTCTCACATCCCTCTAAATAAACTAAATCTCTGAGAACTAATGTACCCGTACTTCTGTTAAGATCTGTTTTTTAAGACCTGCACAAGAGTGAAATCTGTGCCTCGTTATTTGATGTTGTACGGTTCTCTAGTTCCATTTGTGTTTT